GCGCGCTCAGGCATAGTGATATAACAAGCTATTAAAAATGAAGTCTCTTTAACGACATCGAGATTCTTAAATATATTCTTATTAAGGAGAGAGCCTCATGTACACTGATAGATATTAGAGTCAAATTTCTCAAACTCAATTCCTTAAGTTAAATAATTTTAGTTGTTTTTAACTACCATATGTGCTGAAATTCATTATTTTAAAAAAACATGTCAAAGAATATAAAAAATTGGACTGTACAAGCTAAGCTAAGTGTAGGTCGCTGTTTATATATTGAAAATAACAAATATAAACAATTTACATAACAATTTACATTTACAAACGTTTTGACTTTTAATATGGTTATCTTTAGTGTGTAAAAAATTTGTTATGACATTTGTAATTCATTATGACGTAATTAAAATTTGTTGGACAAGAAAGAGCGCCGTACGATTATCAATAGATGAAATTGTTGTCGCATAATTGAACTCGGAGTCTAATGCAAATCAAGAACAACTGTTTATTGGTCATGGATGTATGTATTTTTCTCGATCTGGTATTTGAATTAGTTTTGATTTAACTTAATTATACACTCGTCGACCAATATTAATATTTATAATAGCTAGAAAAAGCTTATAAATATTAATTATTGATCGCGCACGATACTAAGCAGACTTCTTCTCGCAACTCTGATTGCATCTTTGCTTATAATTTCAACGAATGTATAATTAAGCTAAATCAAAACTAATTCAAATATCAGATTGAGAAAAATAAAATTCGAAATACAAGTGAGTTATTAGATGATATAAATTAGATGATATAAAATATAATATAAATTAGATGATATAAATATAAATTAGATGATATAAACTGTCAAATGAAATAAATAGTAACAATATTAACAAATATAAATAATACAAGCTAATTACGGAAATAGTATGAGTTAAAAATATCGAATAATGATTACGTTAAGACAGACTAATTACCTGAACTGAAGGGTGTGAACAAAAATTAAAAATTGGTCATACTTGATCAGGAAGCAGTAAAACCAAGATGTATTAATCGAAAGACCCATTCTCAGTAGTGGTCAAGGAAATTATGGGAGTGAGAGCAAAGAAGAAAAGGTTAAAAACAAGGGAAAAGTGAAAAACAAAAGGAAAAGGAAGGGGAAGGGGAGAAATGAGATAAAAATTCGAAGGAGATAAAGATTCAAGGGAGAGAAGTTAGGAATCGGAAAAGGAGTTCAGGATAGGAAAATACGTATCGGAGAGCAAGTCCATATCGCTTTGTTTGTCTTGTCAGATCTTGTGGTTTTTTTTTAATAGGCACCATTTCTGAAACAAGTTTTCTTATGAAGCAAGGCTCCTTGTCCAAAATTCTGACATTCTCTCAATCAAACGAATAATTTTCCGAAGAGCAATGAATGGAAAGGAGAGCCACTTTTTTTTTTTATTTTTTTTATTAATATCAGTAACATGTTCGTGGAATCTCGTCTTCAATTGTTTTGTCTGTCCTACGTACGTGGCTTCATTGCAACTGATTTTATAAACTATATCGCAACGTGACAGGCGGTATAATTTATCCTTGCCCATGGTAATAAATTTTTTTTAAAGTATTTGAAAGGAAAAGGCAACACTAAGATCACCTTGGCCGGCGATCGGAAGTTCTCTCCGGAGATTGCAAACGTAAGTAAGCAAATTTTTCTTTAGTGTTCCCGTATTTTCTTCCTTACCTTTAAAATTTAATTTGTCATAAAAAAGGTATTTTAATCGTTTTCATAGTCAGTTCTAAAGAATAATCATTGTTTAAAAGAATATCAATCGAATTCTCGTAAGTTCTTGGAATGAAATCATGGATATGACAACTAGATTATTTTCCACCACCATAAATACCATAAATAATACCCTTTTTATGTTCCAAAGGATGTGAATTGTAATTGAGATATCTCCCTGAGAAGGTGGAAGCAATTGAATATAATTGTATCATTCTCAATGATGATCAAAACATTAAGGAAGCTAAGACGACGATTACTTTCTATTTCGATCGTAAATTTTATCGTCGTTTTAAATTTTATAGTCGTTCGTATAATGAGTTGAAGATTTCTAAAATGTCCGACGGAGCACACAATACAATATCGTTCACATAACAGTAATAGAATGGTAATTGACAAGGTAGGCGTTCGATCGCATCTTTAAATCCTGCATGACTAATTGTAAGTCAGTAATCATAGAAAATAGTGGTGAACCCATCGGTGTGCCGAAGACTTGTAACAACTTGTAAAAATTGTAAAA